TGAATCTAACATGTATTTGCGAATATCTCCCTTATCTCGTGATTAGTTTTACTCCCATAGGGACCGCGACCCAATTTACCCCGAAATTGTTTGCCTCCTCCACTCAGACGACCACAATCCGGTTGTATCCTTAAAAACTGAGGCCGACGCTGAACCTATCATCCCACTCAGCACTTTTACCTGCCCCTCACTATCACCCGACCTCGAAACTTAGGCCCAGACCTACCAACTTGTACGATTGCCCCTTTGCTTAGCAACTTGTGATCCATATATGTCACAGTATCTATGCCAGAGCATAGAACGCTTCGTATTTATTGGGTTTTGAAACCACCAGAAGATCATGAATAAAGTTTGTATCCACCCTGGGCCACATGAGCTGATGAAGGATCAAATTTCACTTAATCCCGTCCCCATACATAATTCTTACGCAGATCTGATCGCAGTTTCGAGCTCGTCTCTTTCTCAGCATCCTTGATGGGATTCAAACCTGGGTTGCGGTTGTGTTATGCATCCTGTCAACTTAATGTCACCACGCTATTGCCACGGTTACCAGTGGTTTGCAAGGCGGGCGTGAATTCCAGGGTAAGCCAGGCCTTGCTCATATCACATTCTGTAGTGCTATTGTCGGAGAAACGAGCTTGTATTTGAAATCGAGTATCTTGCTTGTATATGTATTCATTAGTTTATGGAACTATCATTAGATCCTGAATAAAAGTTATACTCTCCTTAGGTCGCATAATGTTCTAAAAGAATTGATAGTTGAGTTTTTCTTCAATGCCGTTGAATTCCATTTGGCCTTGTTTCCCGAAAGGTATTTACATCCAGACTGGACTGGACTGCACTTTCGACTTTTCCCAGATCTTATCAGAACTCCCAGTGGGTTCCTAACTTGGCTCGGGCAGTGCAGTCTATCACTTCGACATATTCTCGCGACGCCACTCTACCACGAGTGCCAGTCGCCTAAAAAGCACTGACATTCCTAAACTCTGATTTAATTCGTCCTCTGTTCGACACCAATCGGAATCCGAACTGTATACAGAAGACCTAGCCAGATCGACGTATCCACTGGTCGGCGACGTCTGCTGGTGCAGCACTTGTCGCGCTACACCTCAGCTCCACATTCACATGCTTATACCTCAGTGTTTTCCTCCAACAGATCATGTGTAGAAAATTCTCACTTACGGCGTGATCACTACAAGACCAGCTCTTCCTCAAGACAATGATCCTCTTATAACTTGTGTCATTGTTCCCGCCGCACGACTCAATCTACCTCATGTCAAGGTTGACTGGACGGTGCTTGCCGTCGTGGAAACCTCGAAAAGCTACTTCAGCAAGAACCTTAATCATCTCCGCTCGGTTGACTTTTGCCAAAATGATGCGAGAAGACTGCATGAGTTAAATACATTTCACTTATTCATGCATCAGCACTTGTTTCCTCCTCGGGTCAGACCGCACTTTCCAACTTGCCTCACCATCTTGTCATTAATCCCAACGGAATTCGCAGCCTGGCCGTATTTACAAAACTGCAACACTTCACTACTCAGTCACACACAGCCGCAAATGCCATTGGACCGCAAGGCACATGGGACCACATTCATTGTGGCCTTTTTGGCGAGGCAAAAGTGTGTTTTTTATTTACAAGTTGGTTTTAGAGGCTATCGATAGATCATATAAATGAGATGCACTCACCCTAGTTTGTTAATATGATGACGGACTGATAATTGAAATTTTTCCTATCAATTGAATTGGCCTTAGGCTTCCATTGAATTGCACATAATCTTTCTTACCAAAATTAATTTTTTATCGAGAATAGACTGTGATTTCGACTTTGCTTGATCTGTTTCATTAGCACCCTTAATGGGACACGAAACATGTTAATTTTGCGTATAATTTCGACATGTTAACCACTACACCACACTGCCAAGAGTATGTTTGGGCCGCAGGGCAGATGTGGCTTCCAAGGAAAGCCAAGCATTTTCACACACCACATTTTGTTGTGGGATTGCCGATGGGGTAAAGTCATATCGTTGCAGAAAAATTCGACTATCAGTCCTTCATCACCTCAACAACTAATTTCCCGTATATTCTATTTGGACGTGTTTCACTGCCGATCTCCGCTCAGCTGGTGCATTGGTTACCACCTAACTGATGCAAATAACCGAAAGTGGGAAGGTTAAAATAAATTTAATTTCAGAATAACTTCCAATTTTAGTTAAATGGCTAATATTTCACGATTGAAAGAATCGGATGAAGGAAGCTAGGCAATACAAATGGTTTCTGATTTCGCCATGTCGGCAGTTTCTGAAAAAGGGAACGAGAGTAAGAAATTGAATGGGAATTGGCCCTGACGCTTGGATGGGATTAAGAAGAGGAAACAATAGGAACCAGATGACAAGAGGAGGCTTGCTTGGTCTGCAATCGGATTAGAGTTCTTAAAGCCCAAATAACTGTGTCAATACTACAGGATCAAACTCGAGTGATAAAACAGCTTTTCTGCTACATTCGCATAAAAATCATTGGACAACTTCCCTTATTTACCATCTTTTTGGGTGAAGAAAC